GTTATTAGGGGACTAGTTTCTGGAGAAGGAGGTGACTTCATTATTCAAGTTACTAACTTCAGAGTAGTTACTTGAGAGAGTCTAGACTTGATTTCCAAAGCCTGTGAAGGTAGAACCCCATAACATATGAACAAGAACTCTCCATCTGAACTGTTGGTAGATTAATAGGGTGTCTTGGAAGATAAAATTCTCCCTGTCAATGGAAAGTTTCAAGCACATGTAAGATGATTGCTTGGCAGGGATGCTATAGAAGGGATTCAGGCCTTTGATAAGAAGTTAAATTAAGTAACTTCTCTGGGACTTTCTAGAGAATTATATTCTTTTCATTGAAAATTCAGTTTTTCTCCTTTTACAGAATGAATCTAGGTAAGTTAGTATATTACTTATTCTCTTATCTTTTTGAAAACTCATTTTGCTTATCTGTGAAATGGGAGCATAATGCTTACCTTGCAGGTTGTGTATGGATTATATCTCATTATATGGGTTAATGAGGAAGTGCTTACTACAGAGTCAGTCACAGTCAATAATTGTTAGTGGACATTTCCTTGACTCTGATGTTTGTATAGTGCTAATTTTAACATATGTGAAGTAAAAGACAGATTATTCATGGGGTAAAACTTCTCGGTGCTTCAAAAGGATCCTCAATAGGACTCATTTGGTAGGGCATACTTACACTTCCTACCCGGCACAGAAACCAGGGAAAACTGAAAATTGGCTATAAAAAGAGGATTTCTAGTCAAACACAGAGCAAACCCCATAAAGACTAAGTTTTGTTTCTCAGAATTCCCACGGCTCTGTATTTCTCTGCCTCATTTTTTTGTTGCTGTTACGGAAAATTTGCCTCAACAAACCATCAAGCATAAGATCTTATAGGAAGATTCTCACAATAAAAAGGAATCTATAAGCAGAACACCGCTCTGTTTACATTCTTACACTGCAGTTGAGAAAACGGAAAAACCCAGAATCTTTGAAAATAATCTGCAATCAAAAAATTAGAACATTGCACTGAGATGAAAAGAAAAAAACACATTTAAAAGATTTACGATAGGAAATGGAAGCAAACAGCATTTGATATGTCCCTTCAAGAAAAAAAAGCAATGACTATCAAATAAGAAATAAAATATGCAATGATAAAATAACAGTAACGGGGGTGGGAGAAGAAATGGTTATAAAGCAGGTAGAGATAAAAAGGAAGCAGAATGAAACAAGGAAAGAATGTGATGTGAAGGACAAGCTTGAGTCAGAAAGTAGGCCAAAAAGTAGCAAAAAAAAAAAAAATTGAACTCTGATTGAGTCAATATCACACTGTTAATTATTGTAACTTTAGAACTAGCTTTCAGATCTGGTTGAGTTATTCATCTTTCAGTATTCTTTTTTAAACGCTTAAAAATACTTTTATACTTTCTTCCTTTTGAAAAAACTTTTTAAGATCTAATGAGTAAAAACATTGCTATAATTTTATGCAAACAAAATACGTATTAATTTAACTAGAACTTATATTTTTGCTTACATAGAATCAACTTCATATTTTAAGTTTTTGTTCAATGACTAAATTGTAAACTTTTTTCATGTAGGTATGACACATTTTTATTAAATTTATTCCTATGTACTGTAATGGTTTAGCTTTTATTTAGGACCCTGAATTGACTCTTTCTTAAAGTGAAACCTAGGACTAGGCACGTTAATGTAAGAGTGTGGGGACCTATGGTCGGGATGAGTAACCACGTTAGAAAGGCAGTATGAAGATAAACTTGGGCACAGCAGGGATCCCCAGTTAATTAGAAGCAGAGCCCAGATCAGAACCTAGTTTCTCAATTTCCATCACGGTGCTTTCTGGCTATATGCTTGAAGTCAGACTTAGTGAATTGCTGGATATGGAGTCTGGGGAAAAAAAGAATCAAGGATGATTCTGAGATTTGAGACTGGAAGAACCATGGTACTATTGTCATAATTATGAACGTCAGGGGGTAGTCCTTGCTACACCTCCTTGGTGGGAAGGTTTAGCCTTCCCTAGGGAGTAAGCAGGCTCAGCTCTTAGAGAAGGGATTTGTCTGTGCCTGGCGCAAGGTATTCTTAGAAAGCCCAGCTGGCTTAAAAGTTTACATATCAGAGTCAAGGGATTGTTGGAATGTTGGTGAGCAAGGCTGTGCATATAGCCGTAAGCCCACAGTAGAAAGAACACACAGGAATGATTAGACTGCTCTGTAACCAGCAGTCTGAGAAAGAACCAGAGTGAAAAGTGCTGTTGAGAACATTACGGCATATGTACAATATTTAATAAGAATGATTCTGTGGAACTTCTGGGACATAAAGCAATAATTTGGAAATGTTTGTAACAGCAAATAAATGTATTGCTTTTTATTTATTTATTTATTTTTTAAAGATTGGCACCTGAGCTAACAACTGTTGCCAATCTTTTTTTTTTTTCTGGTTTTTCTCGCCCAATCCCCCCAGTACATAGTTGTGTATTTCTAGTTGTGGGTCCTTCTAGCTGTGGTATGTAGGACACCGCCTCAGCCTGGTCCAATGGGCAGTGCCATGTCCAGGCCAAGGATCCCAACCAGCAAAACCCTGGGCCAGCGAAGCAGAGCGTGTGAAATTAACCACTGGGCGACCCGGTAGGCCCCTATCGCTTTTAAATTATACTGTTGGGTCATTAGCAGAAATCAATGATTACCACAGCACATGTAGCAGCGTGAGAATGAGTTACAAATCACAGGCAGAATGTAATCCCGTAAGGGCAAACAGACAAGAACTGAAGTGGCTTGAACACATACGAGATCCTTTCCTATCATTACTGTGATGTAGCTGCCAAATTTCTCAAACTCCTGGGGCAAAAATGGTTTCAACCATAATGTACAAGAAAAGCGGAGTGGATGGGACTGGTGGGGGGGAGGAACAAGGTAATTATAAGGGAGTAAATAGATGGAAGTTTGGGGAGGTAGTTATTTGAAGTATAATTAGGTATCTATATTAGACATGTTTAAAACCCAGAAAGGGTCCTTGAGATATCCTTGTGCAATTCAAGGGCTCCGAAAGTAGAGAAGCCCTCTAGGCTGTAGGCATCCAGTGAAACTGTCAGCAGCAGTTACACGTGTCAAGTGTCTACGGCTGGTCCATGCTGCGCTGTCTCAGCACCCAGAGACAAACGAAATGCCTCTACCACCCTTGGTCAGTGTTCAGCCCTATCTGTGGAGTTACGCTGATACCTTCTGTAAGGAGAAACATGGCAGTGGTAAACAGAACTGTGCAATCACTGAGGAAGATGATCAGGAATATACATGGAAATCAATTAGGAAGACCTGGAATCTTTAAAAATTCAGGAGGACCGAAGAGGGCTAGGCTTTTGAGTAATTAAAATTACCCATGAATCTAGTTATCCATGACAAATCCAAAGGCAAAATTAAACTAAATGATCCTTAGTAGTTTGAAAATTAAATTAGATCCCCCAAAAGTGGGGAAAATGAAACCTTAGGTCTCTTGAAGTAAAATAAATACAGTAAAAATAGATTTTCCCTGGAATTTAATGGCCATCTCATAAACGTGTAGGAAAAATACCACTAATTTCAAGAGAAAGTAATAAATTCAAGAAAGAAGAATAAAAACAAATGGACCTTTACTGATTGTTTCAGTGGATTTTAAAATACTATAATTTTTCAATTCACAAAAGCTATTGTAGCAGATCATAAAACAGATTAAAGGAACAGTCGAGGGAAACCCCAACTTGTATTTGCATAGGGAAAGAATTCACAAAATCAAGCCACATACTCTTGCTTATAGAAGGATATCCTAGAATATTTCATCCTTTAAATACTGTAGCTCTGAACCAGACAACACAAATGTCAGCAATTATTCTATGTTGCATTGCTTTGAGTATTTTTAAATTAATATAATTCAGACATATTTCAGAGAACAAACAATTTTCTCAGCCAAGAAAACTGATAAAAAATATTTTGGAAATCACTCTATATCTTTCTTTTTCACCCTTCAAAAAAGACACATTCCAGCATCTGATTCTAGTGATTTGACTCTGTGAAAAAAAATTAAATTAAACTCAAAATGTCAACAAACAAAAATTTCATAAAAAGTTTTTCTTTGACTTTGAAATTAGCCAGTCCTCAACTGCGCAGGGTGTAAATCGTGGGTCCCACAGAAAGGGTGCTTGAGACAATATTTTATAGTAGGCTTGTTAAAGATAGAAACCTGCATAAGTACCTCTACTTAAGGATATAAGAAGAAGCATTATTTCAAACAGTGGCAGAACCTCTCTAAACTATTCCGGATATAATTTGTACCACCACATGGTTTTCTTGGAGAGGTCAACACACTGGGTCATTTCTGTGCCTTTGCTAATCAGAATACCATATAGAAGAACTTAACCAATTTGGTCTTCTTAAAGTTATAGTAAAAAATGAATATGATTCAAATGAAACAGTTTGATAGACAAGGGCTTTGTGGAAATAGCCATGAGGGTGGTGATAATGAGATTCGAAATTAAATCAGTTCAATTCAGCAAACATCGATTAGCTTTATATTTAAGACTGTAGAGGTGTTCTAAATTTTAGGAGATACAGAGGTGAGTAAGACGAGTTTCTTTCCGTCAAAGTCTTCACAGCTTAGAGATGAAGCCAGCTGTAATAAAGGTTTAAACCACAGCGCTATAGACTAATAATCCTCAGAAGAAAATTCCTAGCGATGGGGGGACCTCTAGGGAGAAGACCTTCAGAAAAGGTAGAATTTGAAGAAGTCTTTCTTTTTTCTTTTCCTTTTTTTTTTTTTTTTCTTTTGAGGAAGATTACTTCTGAACTAACTGTTGCCAATCCTCCTCTTTTTGCAGAGGAAGACTGGCCCTGAGCTAACGTCCATGCCCATCTTCCTCTACTTTATATGTGGGATGCCTACCACAGCATGGCTTGCCAGGCAGTGCCATGTCCGCACCAGGGATCCCAACTGGCAAACCCCGGCCGCCGAAGCGGAACGTGCGCACTTAACTGCTGCACCACCCACCAGCCCCTGAAGAAACCTTTCAACGGAAGGAGATGGGAGAACAGCAAAGAGATCAGAAAAGTGTAGGTGTGTTCTTGGAATGGCAGAGAATCAAATGGGAGGGACACACACAGGCAGGGTGGGATCTAAGTCTAACAATAGTGTTTGGGGCTAATTGGTAGAACTATCAATCCTAAGCTGAGGGATGGCACTTCGTTCTGCAGGCAACAAGGAGATAGCACAGGCTTTTGAGCAGAAGAACGATACCGTTGGACCGCTATTGCAGGCCAAGCATTTAGGCAGCCATGTGTGGGGTGGATGGCAGCCAGGAGCGATGGCCCCAGGAGGCCAGTTTCAGAGATTGTTGCAAGATTCTAGGTGAGAGGAATATGAGAGCTGTGGGAACAGTAAGTGGGGTATGGCCAGAGGGAAATGAAATGAGGCAAGAGCTCCAAAGTCAGATGACAAACAAGAAACAACGGGACATGAGACTCTCTTGGTTTATGGGGATCAGAGGAAGGAGTGGAAGTGAAGATGCCTGAAGTTATTCTCTTTACTTCCTATTTGAAAGTAATTTCAGACTTATAGAAAAGTTGTAAAAATTACTATAAAGAATTCCTATGGCTTCTCACCCAGATTTCTCAAACATTACATTTTATCATCCCCTCTATCATTCCTTCTTTCTCCTGTGGTTTCTCATCCAGATTTCCCAAATGTTACATTTTATCATTCTCTCTCTCTCCTTCTTTCTCTCTCTCCCTTTCCCTCATAACATCATTGTATTTTTTTTTCTGAAAAAAAAAAATGTGCTTGACCTCTAAATACTGAAGACGACTGAAGTTCTGAGCTTAGAGGTATTGAGAAATTTGTGCCAAATTAATCTAGAGTGTGAGTATGAAAGAAGATAGGCAGGGTGGGTTGGGAGATACAAAGAACAAAGAGGCTAGGAAAGAGCCCAAAAATACCCTGAAAACCCTTTCCTCATGTTTAACTCACAAGTGTTCCTCTTCTGACTAGAAATTTACCCTTTTCTAGCAAGTGTACAACTCTGAAAGGACCACAGACAGAGCAATAACCAAGATGGAGGGGCACATATCTCTCCAGCTAGTTCAGCCAAATGCATTGTGGTGATTGGATACTGCAGTAGATCAAACTAGACATTAACCTAAGATATCCTCTCTCCAATTCTGAATCTTGTGTTCATTTATTGACTCAACAAATGGTTATTAAGAGCTTAATATGTCAGGCACTTTTCTACATGCTGGAAATTCAACAGTGAACAAAGTGAATTCCCTTGTTTTAATGAAACTTACATACCTAATGGGGAGAAAGAGAAAATAAACAAATAAATATGCATTGTGAGATGATAAGGACTGTGAAGAACAATTGAGCTGGATTAAAAAGTAAAGACCAGGTTTAGAGAGCTACCTTAGATTAGGAGGTCAGGGAAGGCTTCTCGGATAAAGTGGTATTTGTGCAGAGACCAAATGAAATAGGGGAGAGAGACATGTAGATATCTGCATGAGGAGAGCATTTCCAGAAGAAGGAACAAAGAGCAAAGTCACTGAACTGGGAGCATATTTAGTGCGTCTGGGCAATATCAAGGAGACTTCTTTAAATTGAATGTATACCTAAAGCAATCACCAAAAAAAACCCCAAAGAATTATAGTTAATAAACCAACAGAGGAGATTAAATGGAACCATAAAAATACTCAATCTAAAAGAAAGCAGAATAAGAGTAAAAGGGAAACAAAAAATAAATGACACAAGCAGAAAACAAATAGCAAGATGATAAATTCAAACACAATCATATCAATAATCACATTAAATATAAATGGTCTAAACATCCAATTAAAAGGCAGAGATCATCATATTGGACAAGACCCAACAATGGGCTGCCTATAGGAAACATGTTAAATATAAAGACACAAATAGATTAAAAGTGAAAGAATGGGAAAAGACATAGTCTGAAAACTAACAAAAAGAAAGTTGGAGTTGCTACATTAATATCAGACAGAGTAGATTCCAGAACAAAGATTATTTTGCAGGATAAGGAAGGTCACTTTTTAAAGAATAAAGAGTAATGGATTAGTTCATCAAGAAGACATAGCAATCTAAATGTTTAGGCCTCTAATAGCGGCACTTCAAAATCCATGAAGCAAAAACTGTTAAAACTGCAGGAAGGAATAGAGAAATCAACAGTATAATCAGATATTTCAAAACCTCTTTCACAACAGTTGTTGGAGCAAATACTATATTGAGCAAGAATACAGTAGACTTGAACACTATCAACTGATATGACCTAACTGACATTTAGAGAATGCTCTATGCAAAAACAGCAGAATACACATTCTTCTTGAGTACACATAGAACATTTACCAAAATTAGATATATGCATCACTCCAGGCAAAAGCATTCAATGATCAACTTGGTACCCTCTCCACTCTGGCTCACAGGGAGCCTCTTGTCTTCTGATGTCTTCTTTGCTTTGTAGTTTCATAGATAAAACAAATACAATCACAAAGTTCCTACTCTGCCAAAAACTAGCTCAGTCCACTCATCTTATTCTCTGGTCCACTTGTTTGGTTAGTCAACGAATCCAAACTCACTTTGTTTCTTCACTTTAAGGGGTAATGTTCATCCTTAAATCATTAACTCCCTCTAACCCCAAGTGAGTTTGCACCATATTGCTCTGTTTGAGAAATTTTCAGTATTCACTACTCTGGGATTGCAATAGACACCACTCATTTGAGATAATCACATCTAACATCATCAAATTAATGAAAATACCATCCAGATGTAGGGTTGCCAGATTTCGCAAATACAAATACAGAAGAGACACTCAGTTATTTTTGAACTTCAGATAAACAACAAATAATTGTTTAGCGTAAGTATGTTCCAAATATTGCGTGGGGCATCCATATTTTAAATCACCTGGAAATACAGTTTAGGAGCACATGGTAAATTCTTATAGTGAAATATCAGAAGGCCATAGTGCCTATATGTACGGGGAAGTAAATAACTATGAGATCTAAAACAAAATCAAAACAGAACAGAGGGACAATGAGAAGCACAGAATCAGTGCAACCAATATCTGACACAGGAATAACCTCTGTGACTTTCCCCAAGAGGTGGCCCATTTGGCCCCAGCATGAACACCAGGACAATTAGTCAGAGTGTAGCCATGAAAGCCTACAAGCACAGTGCTGTGTTTTTCTTGAATCTTTCTTATGCTTCTACATGCAGTAATTAAAATAATTCTGCTACTGCTATTTTTATGGCTGCATATTGCTCTGACTTTCAAAATGAAAGCTTTAATCTATGATCGCACACCAAGGCTCTTGAGCAAAGGATACGGTCTTTATTCATAAAACCATTTCCTCAAGTAACTGCTCTGCGTGGGTCAGATTAAGGGAGAGAGGGAAAAGGAGGGGGACAAAGGAGGAGGTAGCAAGCGAAGAAATATGAATAAAATTGCTTTTGCTAGTAATGAACTAGTAGTTATAGGAGGCAAGGAAAATGGATATGCTTTAAGAATTCCTCAGGGATAAGGCAGTCATTATTTTTACATTTTCAGCCTCTAATTTGAGATCTCTTTTATAAAAAGAATAAAGCCATACGATCTTAGAATAGTAGTAGGCTTATATAGCATTGAGCACACTACTCTGACTGCCACAACCAATCCTGTTGAAAACAGAGACATCAAAACATCATTTGGTCCCCTATCTTCAGACAAGACTGTTCCTATATCTCTCAGGCCAAAGAGAATTGACTCTAATTTTGGAGGAGGGACAGGAAAAACTCTTAGGGGAATGAGATTGTACGTCTTCTTTGCTAAATTATTTTAGTCTTTCCTGCCAAAAGAGGCAGGAAGTTCTTTCGTATAACTCACCTCAAAAACTCCTATTTTAGTTCAGGTTGACATCCTGTGAGACCTATTAATATATTCCATGGAGAAAAAGAATAGGTAGTTACTATCTTCTGGACAGTCCTCATTCAGGTGCTGAAAAATCCTGCCTAAATAACTCCATCAGTCTTCTCGCAGATTTAATCATTTCAGGTCTTGTAACCTTTGTTAATAAGTTCTATTTTTCAAGGCTTTGTTCATTTTTAATGATTAGTTACACCATGCATAAAAATCAGTGCGTAAACCCTTTGAAAAAGTGCAAAACTCAAATAATTCATTCCAACAAATGAAATGCTAATGCTGTTGCTATGTGGCAACACGAGGTTCATTAGATGCCTTTGCTCAGCATACCATCTGCAAATCTCCTTCTTTTATCCCACCAGCCTTGGAACATTTTAAAGGGTGGAATGTGTCATAACCCATTTATTTTGACTAAATACCAAATCACATCTCTGTTTTCTATAAGACAAAATGAAGCCTGTCACACTTGGACTAATAGTTCTTAATGAGGATTATGTTCTTTATGATTATTTTTTAACATTCTCCTAAGAGACACATTTTCAGTTTGAGTAATTGTTTAATTAATGACTAAAGAGCAATTTGATGAAACACAAATAGCATTTAGCACAAATTCTCAGTAATCATGACTGTTATTTTGAGCCAAATGGACTGAATTTTCATTATATGAGGCATGTCAATAAAATAATTTCTTGTAAGCCTCAACAAGGCTCTGGGAAAACTTGCGAAATAAAGCAAGCAAGTGAATTTGTCCTGTTAGATTCTTATTATCCACATATGTGTTCTGTCCTCACCTCCTGAACTGTGCCCTCCAGCCCATAATAGGCTCTTCAGCTTTCCTGCCCCTTCTGGGTGCCAGGACTCCTGCAACTTCACAATCTCTTCACTCTATCACCACCCCATGACTGATACAGTCTACTCTGGGACAGTGATCCAAATATTTACTAAAATCTACCTCTCCTGTAATTTATTCCCCAAAGACTCTTCTCTGCCACATGTTGAATAACTAGTCCAATAAATTCACCTGCTCTAGCAGCTAATAAATTCCTTAGGAGAAAATACTATAATCTGAGAGAGTAATTTTAACGATTGGGGGAGCATCCTTTGACCATCAATAGAAATATTTGGGGCTAAGCTTTTTTAAACTCATCTCATGAATTCA